AGGGAAGGGTTGGTGAGGGAAGGGTCGAAGGGTTGGTGAGGGAAGGGTTGGTGAGGGAAGGGTTGGTGAGGGAAAGGGTTGGTGAGGGAAGGGTTGGTGAGGGAAGGGTTGGTGAGGGAAAGGTTGGTGAGGGAAGGGTTAGTGAGGGAAAGGGTTGGTGAGGGAAGGGTTGGTGAGGGAAGGGTTCATCAAAGGCGTGCGCCAAATCCAGCATCAAAGGGAAGCTGTGCCCTCGAACTGGAATTACGGAGCGCCGCTGCGTCCTCCACGGCTGACGCGAGTGAAAATTCGCTCGTCGATAGCAAATGTAAAATAAAACCGAGGGAAAATCGTGAGGACTTCCAGAGGGAAAAAATTACGCGGGTAGCAGCGAGTTTATCATAGAAAATAATTGTACTGACTGAAGAAATTGCCAAAGCGTGAGTATGGAATGAATGAAATTAATTGCTTAATGACAATGAGAAATTTTGTTTAAATTCTTAATTAACATGACAAGTTTGTTTAAGATTATTATTGTGTTATAAGTAAGTGAGTAATGTTAATGTAACAAGTTACACTCACCACCACTTGACTGCTCGGTTATAACGCTGGTCCGCAGCTGTAACGCTCACTGATGTCGCCTGGCAGCTGAGCAGCGATAACAGCAATAACAGCAGTATCAGCTGTCCCAGGCGTAGCGAACTGCAGCTGTTCTTATAGCTGTTGAGCAACAGGAGCCTCATTCGTAGGAACAGGAACAGGATTCGTTGGAGGAACAGTTCTGTTGACGCGAACAGCGTCTTCTCGCAAGTTGACTTCAATGAATGGCGGTCAATATTTTCTGGGCTGTGTTCGCACGCTTGCGTTCCAAGCAGTGAAGTTTGTGTTCCAGACCGTGAATTTTGCGCATGAGACCGTGAATTCTGTGTTCCAGGCTGCGAAGTTTGTGTTCCAGACCGAGAATCTTGTGTTTGAGACCGTGAATTTTGTGCTTGAGACCGTAAATTTTGTGCTTGAGACCGTAAATTATGTGTTCCAGGCTGCGAAGTTTGCGTTCCAGACCGAAAATCTTGTGTTTGAGACCGTGAATTTTGTGCTTGAGACCGTAAATTTTGTGCTTGAGACCGTAAATTATGTGTTCCAGGCTGCGAAGTTTGCGTTCCAGACTGAGAATCTTGTGCTTGAGACCGTGAATTTTGTGTTCCAGACCGTGAATTTTGTGTTCCAGACAGCGAAGTTTGTGTTTGAGACCGTGAATTTTCTGTTAAAGACCGCGAATGTTGTGTTCCAGACCGTAGAACTTGTGTTGTAGATAGTGAAAATTGTGTTCTAGAGTCTGAAATATGTCTTTCAGGGCATGAAGTCTGGGCTTCAGCTTCAGAATTTTGTGTTTCATTCATGGAATTGCGTTTTTTGGATGACGGATGTAGCTCCTGATAAGACCGGCTTCGCATTCCAGAGCTCTGAGTTCTGAGCAGCGAATTCCTACCTGAAGCACATCGCGTTCCCATGACCAGGACTGGGAATCTCGGTTGGGAATATCGCATTCCCGGCACAAAATGGAGGAGGCTTGCGCTTCCTGAAATGTGGACTACATTTTGAAATAAAATTCTGCTCCGGTGACAAACAGAATAGCGATTCGATCTTCCGAAATGTCTTGTATCCAGAAGATTAGCTTGAAATTCAGAAGTTTTTTTAGGAAAAGATTTTACGGCTATAGCCCTTGTGTTATTACCGGCTGCGTTGTCATTGAATAACGTTCGCTTCTTTAATGGCAGACGATCGCCATTTAGCACGACGCCATTCACTGTACGGTTCTCTAGAAGGCCTCCATTGACCGTTCGTAAATCGAATGGTTCACCATCAATCAATTTCATATCAAGAGGCTCACTGTCAGGCGTTAAACTATTTTGTGTGTCACCATTTGCTGTCTGTATTTCTGCTGTGCTTAAATTTACCGTCTGTATTTCTGGTACGTTTCCATTAACCGTCTGTATTTCTTGTGGGTTTCCAGTAACCGTCTGTATTTCTGGTGTGTTTCCATTAACTGTCTGTATTTCTTGTGGGTTTCTAGTAACCGTCTGTATTTCTGGTATGTTTCCATTAACCGTCTGTATTTCTGGTATGTTTCCATTAACCGTCTGTATTTCTGGTATGTTTCCATTAACCGTCTGTATTTCAAGTGGGTTTCCATTAACCGTCTGTATTTCTGCTGTGTTTTCCTTATCAACTTGGACATCATGGGCCGTTGCCTGTTCCAACAGAGCTGTTGTCCAGGTTATACAGGCGAACTGTTCACCACCAACAGACGTCTGTGTGGCAGAACAGGAAGAATATGTGTGCCTGTTATCTGGCCTCGCACTGTTAACAGTTATCGCCTGCCACACCTCCTGTTCACATACCTTCTGTTTGTTTTCCATCTTATGTATATCCGCTAAAATTGTTGCCTGTTTTTTGCTTTTCTCGCATTCCAGCAACTGTTTCTTGTCACCACCACGACTGTTCATGGTGGTGTCGTGTTCCTTGTCACCATCACGACTGTTCATGGTGTTGTCGTGTTCCTTGTCACCATCACGACTGTTCATGGTGTTGTCGTGTTCCTTGTCACCATCACGACTGTTCATGGTGTCGTGTTCCTTGTCACCATCACGACTGTTCGTGTTCCTTGTCACCATCACGACTGTTCATGGTCTCGTTGTCCTTGTCACCATCACGACTGTTCATGGTGTCGTGTTCCTCGTCACCATCACGACTGTTCATGGTGTCGTGTTCCTTGTCACCTTCACGACTGTTCATGGTGTCGTGTTCCTTGTCACCATCACGACTGTTCATGGTGTTCTTGTCATCACAATAATTATTGCACGATCTTGCTTCTTCGTCATCATGTTCACCGCAGCTATTCGTTCTGTTCTCACTGTTCACGAATATTGTTCTCACTGTTCTGGACCCATCAATTGTTCGATAACAACAACAATCCACTTCGCAGTGATCACATTTGACTGTTCTCTTGTTCTCATATCGTGAAGAATCGTATCGTTGCCGGCATGGAACAGCTATGTCTTCTTCACGTGTAAGAACATCACATTTCAGGTGTTGTTCATAACAAGAATTTTCGTTCGTATAACGTGAATATAATCGAATATTCGTGAATTCCATTGCCGGGAAAGCTTCATTAATACACATAGCAGCTGCAGGACAAAGATTGGATTATTTTAATTTATTTTACATGGAATTTTTAATATACTTATACTTTAATTAAAAATTTACTTTTATACTATTATATATATACATAGAATAGAGTAGTAAAATTCAAATGTGTTAAAATGAGCACCAAGTTACTGAACTTTGAAGAGAAGTAGCGGGACAGATTGAGTTAATTATTGAACACTCATTGATAACTGATGCTGTATAATATCAGTCGTAAGGGCGGAAGATATGCTTATTTAATGGCGCTGGTAGATTTTTATAATTGATGCCATCCCAATTCCGGACTTCGCGTGCAATAATAAACTGCTGCTGTTTCATATCTAGCGTGCACTAACTAGATAAACTGCTGCTGTTTCATACCTAGCGTGCACTAACTAGATAAACTGCTGCTGTTTCATATCTAGCGTGCACTAACTAGATAAACTGCTGCTGTTTCACGCTAAGAGGGCTAGTTAAATTTATATACACTCATGTACTGTACATTATAATCATTAGTTTGCTTAATAGCAAATTTAAAAAGTATACAAATGCAGAGAAAGCGTCATGTAACTTCACAATATACTTTAAAATAAATATAAATAATTATAACACGATAAATTCATATGAGGCTTTGAGAGAACAGCCAAATTTATATCAAAGAAATCGAAACGAAAGTAACCAATAAACGGAGCATGGAACATGAAAAACTAAATAAACATCTTAAATTAAATACTCATTCTTTTAACTTTAATCTACAATTATCTATCCACTTATCCATATAACTATTATCTGCTTCAAATTATTGATTCAAAGTTTTTTCGTAAAAATTGCCACATATTCGGGTATTTTTGAAAATCTTTTTCGAGTAAATTGAACTTTTTTCTGCTAGTTGTGCTACATGTATTGCTAGTTGTACTACATGTATTGCTAGTTGTACTACATGTACTGCTAGTTGTACCACATGTACTGCTAGTTGTACTACATGTACTGCTAGTTGTACTACATGTACTGCTAGTTGTGCTACATGTATTGCTAGTTGTACTACATGTATTGCTAGTTGTACTACATGTATTGCTAGTTGTACTACATGTATTGCTAGTTGTACTACATGTATTGCTAGTTGTACTACATGTATTGCTAGTTGTGCTACATGTATTGCTAGTTGTGCTACATGTATTCCCGAAATTTTTGAACTCAAGTTGTAGTTGCTCTACGAAACACTCGTGGTGAAGATATTATGAATTGTCTTGATGTTATCTTTGTATTTAATTTCCAATGACATTGCTGCATTATAATTAAATTTCCATAATATCTTTTTACATTGGTGCATAAAAATTATATTTCTATAATTTCTAGTTGTATTAGTGCATTTTAATTATATTTATTTAATATTTAGTTATATTGTTGCATTATAATTATATATCTATAATTCCTATAGTTACATTGGTGCATTATAATTATATTTCTATAATTTCTAGTTACATTAGCACATTATAATTATATATCTATAATTTCCACTTATATTGGCGAACTATAATTATATTTCCATAATATCCAGTTACATTTGCGCAGTATAATTATAATTCTATAATGTCTAGCTATATTGGTGCGGAAGTGTCGCCAAGTAAATATGTCGCTTCCTCCGCCAGCAAGACTTGGTGCAGCCGCCATATTGGAGCGCCGTGCCCCCCCCCCTCTCTCCTGCCCCCCCGCAGCTCTTGAAGGGTGGTGTGGGGAGCGGGGGGTGGGGG